AATATTTATTCCACTCTGTATGCATCCGAAGAAGTGGGCTGTAGTCCACGAAAGCTTATGCTCTAATAAATTTGTTAGTCTCTAAGGTGCCACAAGTACTCCTGTTCTTTTTATGGTCTTTTTGTGGATCACTAGAAATACAATGCAAGTATTGGGTTTGCACAGGTTACAAGCTTCGCCAGCTTCACCAAAGGTTTCAAAAAATGGAAGATAAAAAAAAAGAACCCCAAAAGGCAGCTTTAAATAAACAAAAACTCTTGAGATTTTAAAGCCAATCTCATGGTGGCTGAGGACTACACATGATTTTTGAATGCTGCAAGGTGGGAGGGTCCCAGAGCTCAGGCTGCAGCTTGAGTCCACACGTCTATACCACAATTACACAGCCCCGTAGCCGAGTCAGCTAGCACAGGCCAGCCGCAGCAGGCTGTCTCTCTCTGGGGGTCCCTGCAGCGAAACCAACCAGGTTCTCCTGGGAGGAAGCGGGGGGTGTCTAATTGCAGGTTGTGACCCAAACCATTGGTTGTGTAGCAATTAGTAACATTTTTTTCAGAGATCTACCATCATATGATCTGTGTATTTTGTGGCTAAAGTTTTCCCATCAGCCTCTGGTATAAGCCACATTTCAGCTGTGTTGTCATCCCCCTACCACCGTAGGGCAATTTCCTTCCATAGTGAAACACCGGCCTCTTTAATGGGAAGTGGGGCAGCTGAGAGATCTAGAAACTTCAGATTATAGAACTGGTAAGTGAGCCTCCAGGTTTCATTGTCAACTGGCCTAAAAGAAGAAGGGGCCCAGAGGTCTCGGAGCAACCTGATTTTCCCAGGGAGTGAGTCCTATGCAGAAAAAAACAGGACCATGAGGATTGTCCCCGTTTTGGTTTGGATTCTCTTCCCAGGTGAGAATGATGTGGGCTCTGTGGGGCTTGCTAGAAATACACTGAAGTGATTGGGTTTGCACGGTGAAGCTGACAGCTTGTAAACTATCAGAGCTGGAAAGCCCCAGATAGGTTCCTGCAGTGGTTACAGCCTACTGGAGATGGAGCTTGCAAACTGTGCAGGGAAGTAAAGATTTGAAATCTGTATCCTAAGAAAGCTTTCTGTGGCGAAGATACAATGGGGTCTAGTCTTTTGGTATCTGTTTGCTTTCTTTAAGACTCAGCCCAGACAGTCAGGTGAATGTGTGAGAACCTCAGCACTCCTTTAAGAAAAAACTGAGAATGTTTCTAGCCCTTGTGGTTGCAGAGAAAAACTTGAAAACGTGCCACGAATGCAGCCTAAAGGCTCAAATCCAGAAAGCCAAGAAAAAAGTATTATGGTGTATTATGTTTAAAATCTGCTGATTCCTAAACTCTTGTTATGCTTGGGAGGGAGGGTGTGTGTGGGGGTGACTGACCTGATTTTGGAATGCTTGGATTCGGCAACACTGAGATATTAACCGATGGCTGCAGTTAAGCATCCTAGCTCCTACTGTTAGCTAATGTGGGCACCACCCCTGCACGGAATGATGGGCCCACTTCACCATAGCCCTGCACCTTGCATAAGCATTTACGTCAATGAAAGTGGGTGTAAAAGGCTACAATGTCAGCATGACAGTAGTTTACGGTAGTTTGCATTGGTGTAAATGCCCGTGCCGTGGAGCACGTGAGTTGCTCTTGTTCCCAAGTCAGCTTTTGAAAAGGTTAGAGACGTGAACTTCAGAAGCCAGACCCTGCGGAATCTGCAGTCCCTGTGCAGAGACGCCTCTTCCCCTTGATTCAGTAACTGATGCTGGTGGGACAAGCCACTGGTTTGTGTCTCTCCCCGGAGAATAGAGAAGGTAAAGCTAGTTATGAGCAACCTGTATGGAAGGAGTGACCTCCAGCCAGTCTCCGGCCAGCAATATTGAGAGAGAAAAACAGATCTAATTGACTTCATTTTACTGCAAAGATAAAGCAACACTGAATGGCAACGCCTCCTCCTGCAGGGTTCCAGCATGTCGTTAAAATAACCCCCAGCCAACAGGGGCTAGGAAGGACCCTGCCCCTGCCAATTCTCCCAGCTCTGCCCCTCCTGCTGCACACACACATGCTCCAAATACTCAGGCATCCCCCACAATCCACTGCCCCCCAGCACTGGCTGCATTGCATTGCTGTTCACAGCTTGGAGGATTCTCAGTTTCTCTCTTTGGCTCTGTCTCTCGCAGGTTGCTGGGCAGTGACAGGCCCTGGCACAGCGCGTGGCCAGCTGGGTGGCTCGGTGTCTGTGCGGTGCCAGTACGGGGCAGGCTATGAGGCTTATCCGAAATTCTGGTGCAGACGCAAAGTTGTGCTGTGTTTCAATCACCTCATCTTTGAGACCACGGGGTTGGAGGCTGAGGAGACGTGGGGCAGAGTCTCCATCCGTGACAATCACACCCAGCGCGTGTTCACTGTGACCCTGGAGAACCTGACACTGGCAGATGCGGGGACTTACCTCTGTGGGGTAGCCAGGATTGGCCTCCCCAATCCCAGGGACTCCGTCGAAGTCATCGTCTCCCCAGGTAAAGCCTTCCTCTGCACCCCCATGGCAGTGACGGGAGAGGAGGAGCTGGAGGTGGGATGGACGGGGTGGGGAAGGGTTGTCTGTAGCTCTGAAGACCCAGAGGAGTCAGACACTGCTGCTGCCTCCTTCAAAGGGGTCCAGCTGCAGTTGAGGACAGTGGTGAAGGAACTCCAGCCCCTGCAGCACCCTTCATGCAGCGCTACTCCTGACCCAGACCCTAAAGCCACTCAGAACCGAGCTCCTCTTTCCTGCCAAGTCCCCACCCGCAGTCCTGCCTTAGCCAGAGGCGGGGCGGGGGGGGCAGGAGTAAAGGGGGATGGGGAGGAAATTCTTCAAAGGGGGGGGGAGTCATTCCCCAAGGGGGTGGGTGTATTGGGGGTGGGGACAAGTCCCCAAATGGGGGAAGAGAGAGAGAGAGAGAGAGAGAGAGAGAGAGACGGAGCACGTAAATGAGGTGGGAGGAATCACTAGATTATTAATTTTTTTTTATTGGATCAAACTTCGGTTGGGGAGAGAGAAGCATCCGAGCTACACAGATCTTGTCCTCAGCTCTGGGAAAGGTACTCCGAGTGGCACAGCTAAATCCAAGTTCTGACAGGCAGTACCTGTCCCAGACCCGAGAATGAGCTCTGTGTAGTTCAAAAGCTTGTCTCTCTCACCAACAGAAGTTGATCCAATAAAAGACATTCCTCCCACCCCCCTTGTCTCTCTAATATCCTAGCACCGACATGGCTACACCACCACTGCAGAGATTATTAAATGTAAGGAGTGAGTGGTGCTGGCCAAACTCACCGGGGGTCCTGCGGATCCCTGTCTCACTGAAAGCACTCCTGTCCTGAAAGACTCAGATATACGTTCCCAGGTTAGCTAAGTTAGCCACACAGGCATACACAGCTCAGCCTCCCTTCGCTCCAAGTGTTGGTACAAAGGCCTTAGATCTCAGGAGCCCTGACAAAATGCTACAGTTGGGATTCTGATGTGGGTCAGGATGACCTGTTGTTTCCATGACAAACATACTCCATGATGACAACAACAACAACAAGGAGTCTGGTGGCACCTTAAAGACTAACATGATGATCTACGTTGAAGGCTCTGTTTGGGAAGTAGGGGGAAGGAGGAGACATTGTTTGTGGTTGCGTGTGTTTTTAATTGTGCTGAATTTCTGGTTTTAGCTGCAGCTCTTCCTTCTTCAATCCCAATGGAAAAGGCACCACAGGCAACAGACCAGCCAGCTGCTCCTGCCTTCACACGGATTTCCACTGGAAGCCATGTATCTAGCTCATTTACGTCCTCAAGTAACAGCTCCTTGGACAGCAGTGACATCCAAGCACAGTACGTTCTAGAGCTCATACTTCCATGGGTCTGTAGGCTTCCCCCCGGTGCAGTCACTGTTGTGTATAGGGGTCCTTCAGCTCTTTTCCTCCCCACCCCCCCAAGATTTCTGCAGCATCTCAGCAGTTCCAGCCAGGTGAATGCTAGTGAGGTTTTCCATTGGATGCTAGTAACTTTCCGGAGTATTCTGTTGGTGCTGGGATCCAACTTCCCTTACATGATCCTATTGAAACCCACTTTGTTTATTGTCCCCTCCCCAACCCCCCAAATAATCAACTCACGGACCTATCAATGAGTTTTAAAACCTCTATGGCCAGCTAAGAGATCACAAAATGTGACCATTGCATCACCTCCCCGTGCGTGGAGGAACAAAGAATAATGACATGACTGGTGCTAACATCCCACAGAAAAACTAACATTGCTTTTATCAGCAAGAACCTGGAGGTCCAATAGGGCTGGGTTCACATGAAGGACAATGGCAATTCCAGCTGCAGAGACGCCCTGGACAGGGACTGTCCGAGTCCAGTCACATCAGATTGTTGTTGACTGGATAAATGAATAACTAGAGGTGGGTGCTGGCTGGGGTTCGGTGTAAGGACAGGGTGCTGAGGCGATGGGTGCTACCTCTTCTTCCCAATGAAGCTTTGTTTGCACCTTTGCCCAGAGAGCCCCCAGGGAACGTATTAATGGGAGGAGTCAGCGTCAAATCTACAGAGCTTTAGAGTCTCTATTGTATTTCTCCTGCATAGATCCCAACCCAACATCCTCTATCCCTTGTTCCTGATCGTCCCCATCTGCCTGTGCATAGTCTGTACTGTGACCTGGGTGAGCGTACAGTACAGGAGGAACTCCAGAGAGATGGTGCCAAACAGACATGGTGAGAGCCTCTGACCTTCACACCATGACACACTCCATTGGGTGGCTCCCAGTCCTGTCTTGATCACCAGGGGCGGTCATAGCTTTACCGTGAGCACAGAGTAAGGGGCAGTGAATTGTTGACTTGCCCCACAGCCTGGGAGGGAGATTGCAACTGGTCAAGTTACATGGTCCCTTCTAGTCTCCCCATTCTTCTGGAGATGGGGTAAACTGTACTGGGTCTGTACCTGGTCCAGCATACTTTCCTTGGCGCATCACCACAGCTTTGCTGCCCAGTGCATTATGGGAGGGAAAGCCAATGGTCCACCCATTCCCCAACCGTGGCATCCATCTGTGACTGGGGTCAGGTAGCAATTCTGCTTAGTCTGCTTCCTCTCCTGCATGGCTACCCAGAACACAACCCCTAACACGTCCCTGCTGCACTAGCAGGGCCCTTTGACCCAAAACCTCCGTATATGACTGTGGTGAGTATAGTTGTGAATACGGAGACATCCTCACTGCTCTGTATCCCTGATCAGGAACATACACAGCAGAACAGCTTTGTACCCTGACAGGTATGAACAGAAAGAATCCAGCATCAAATGTGCCATCCTGTAACTGGTGATGTCTGTGTGTTTTGTTACAGCTGAGGAATTGCCCCTCTCCTAACTAAGGAATGGGTCAGAATCCACAGAAGAAGGATGCATCCCTCAGCTCTGCCTACCGCATAAATCCACAGAGTGGGCCTGACTTTCCTCTCATGTAAACAAACTATTTTCTCCACGTTCTTAGGGGACAGTCTCCTGCAGGTGTCCGTCTCTGTGGTTCCCATGTCTAGGCTCAGTTCAACATCATAAACACAATGAATGGCTGGCAAGAAAAAAGGGGGAGGTGGGTGTTCTTGCAGCCAACTTGGGTGGCCCAGCACTGATGGTGCTACAGAATTTACCCCCAGAAAAAAGATGGAGTTTTCCAAACCTGGCACAAGCCCTTGACACATGGTTTGGAACTAGCCATCAATCTGAGCTGGCTTGGACACAGCTAAGAGCTAGGAGAGGGAAAGAGGTAATCCCACCAGAAGTGGTGGAGGACCTGCGGAGACTGGCAGTCCTGACATACTCAGCTAGTACTGTGGCCTTCCAGGATCAATCGGCAATGGACCATTTATAGATGCTCAACTGTACTTGGACTTGAAGATCAAGATGAACAAAAGGAGGCCAAAGACACTCCAAGAGGCTCTGGGCTTAGCCACAGAGTGTGAATCTTTTCTTGGAGCACTGCACCAGAAGAGGAAGCCGCTGCTAATGAGGAAGGCGATTGCCATGCGCCCTGTAGGTGCAGCTCTGTGTTTAACGTGTACGATGGAGAAGGGGATTCTAACCTGCTTGAACAATTGGGGAAAAAAATAATAAATTTAAGTTAAAACAAAGGAAATTGGTCAATAATGCAAATATTATGGGAAGCCATTAAGTTAAATGCTGCCACTGTGAGGAAATTAGCCATTAAAAGAAGGACTATTATAAATACAAAGCAGGCCAAGACAGAGTGTCATAAGTGTCTAATGAAAGCCCCGTCTCAGGTTGGAAACCAGGGGAACGCCGAGCTGAATAGACAAAGGTTGGAGGTACAAGTGTAACACTGACAGACCCTGGTTGTGGGTGGGCGGGATTGAACCTGGGGCCTCTGGAGCTCAGTGCATGAGCCTCTACTGCATGAGCTAAAAGCCAATTGGCTGTTAGCTAAGGTTGTAGAGCAGACTCATTTTCTCTCACTCTCTCCAAGTGGTCTCGGTGCCACTAGATGGGACAGAGCACCACACCCACAAGGTGTGTGGGTTACACAAGGAGCAACCACATTGTTTTGTTTAAATCTGGGCACTTAAAGCACAACCATCATGGGAGTTTGGCTATTGATTGTGGATCTGTGAAACATACAGGAATAGTTGATACCAATTCAAACATAATTATTAGCCTAGATGTGCTAAAAAAAGGCTAGGAAATAGGGGGATCCAAACCTGAACCAATTAACTGGAACAGTGATGGGGACACAGGCAACCATCTGGAAATTGGGTTTGAAGATTCAACCTCTGGCATTTGAGCAAGAGGGAACAGAGACATTGGATGAGCTGATAATCTATTTGGATTTCCTTATGGCTAATAACCGTGTAATCGATGCCAGGAAGGGTGTCTTAGAAATTCACTCTGTGGAAATTCCCTTTAAAGACATGGTGGCCCAGGTGAGAGAAATGGTTTGCAGGCAACTGGTTTGCAGCGAACAAGCTGTCGTACCTCCCAGGTGGAAACCATCATCACAGTTATGTGCTGTGATAGCTTTTGACCAAAGGAGAAAATGAGAAGTGATTGAAACCTGTTTTGAGCACCAGGGGAATCTTAGCTGCCAAAGCTCTTGGGATCTGAATGTGGAACACCTGCCTCATCAGTAACTGAATATTTCTGGAGAACAGCAAATAGTGAAAAAGGAACCATGGTTGCAAAATGTGAATCAGTGGATCTGGTAAGTGTTGGTGCAGAAGGAAACCACAGGAGGGAATTACCACTGCCAATAAACAAGCTGTGCAGAACTGGCCAAGTCCCCAGATACTCACACACGTGCAGGATTTTATAGGACTCTGCTCCCATTACAGAAGGTTTATTTATGGGTTCGCCAATATTGCAAAAACCACCAAGGGCCACAGGGCTCTGGGGAAGCATCATGTGCTACCGCACTACCCAGTGACCTGATAACAGGCACCAGAACTTGAAGCTCAACTCTGACAGAGGACTTCAGTCCTGAGCTCTGACTGGTAGAGCTCCAGGTGTCCTGATTGGGTCCCTGCTTCTATTTAAACCGAGCAGAGGAAAAGGAAGTCACCCATGCAATTAGGTTTCCCCAGGGCTACCTGCTCCTGCTGCCTGATGTCTGGCTCTCACGCTGCCCTCTGGTCTCCTGGTCTCCGCGATCTGAACTGCCTCCTGTTCTGACCATCTGCTCATGACAAGTGGGCGGAAGAGCGTGATTGAGCATTTTCAGAGTTGAAAAAGACTCTGATTGTTCCTGTCTTGGCCTATGTTAAAAACCCCTTTCACACTGGCCACAGATGCTAGTGCTTACTGTTTGGAGGCAGTAGTGACACAAGAACATGAAGGACTTGAGACTGGTGGCTTATTACTGCAAACGTTTACATTTTCCTAAGAGAGGTTATTAAAAAAGCTGTCAGGTCCTGTGGGAAAACTCAGTTGTTTTTAAACCACAGATGTTTCAGTAAGAATCACCTTGCCGTGAACGGGGTTCTCACTGTCTGGAGAAGGAAAGCCCAGAGGAGGCTGGCTGTTCTCTTGCTCTCTCCGGGCTCGGGGGTACAGTACCTGTTGCTAGAATGTTTTAAGGGCTCATAAGCTTATTTCCTAATCAGAGATAATCGCACGTCCTTATTAGCATGTATTTAGAGAGGCCAGAGTGATGACAGGGCTGTACAGAAAACACAGATGGACAAATTCTAATCAGCCCTGTGATTGTACTGCGGAAGGCCCCTGGCAATTGCTGGGGACCATTGCTGTAACCAGTTAGTGATGGGGGACATCAGCCCAGTGACTGAAAGGGGGTGGATGGCACAGGAGACACAGACAGCCCCGAAGCCCCAGGGGATCGGGCAGTAGAAGCTAGGGAAGAAGAGTGATCTAAGCAGAAGCTCAAAAAAGCTGGGTCAAAGTGGTGTCCTCAAGCAAAGGGCAAAAGCCAGGTTGCTAGGCCAGGAACCGTCTCCCAGGCCCTTGAGAAGGCCCCTAGCCAGGAACTTCCCTAAAGATATAGCAACTGGGGGAAATGATACACTCTTGAAGAGACAAGGCCTCTGCTTTGGGAACAGATTGCACCACAGCATGCAGTGAAGATCAGACTTGCTCCGGGGTGAGCACCACAAGGAACAAGCTTAGGGGGATGGGGATTTCCACTGGGACAGCTGGTCTACACAGGGGGGGAGGGAGTTGCCAGGCTGCCAACAGTCATGTTTTCATCACAATTCTCATGATATTTGATGTTTTTCTTTGAGCCCCAGCTCCTGGATTCCTGTGATTATGGGAGGCTTTCCGCTTTCATTCACCAAAACAAAAACAGGTTTCTACCCCTCACGGTTGTGGAGACAAATATTGAAAGTGTGACCCAAGCACACTTTAAATGTTCGAACAGCAGAAGGGAAATAAAAAGAACCCAGGAGGTTTCATTTTTGCTCAGTGACACATTTGGGGCTAGCCATGGGGTACAGGGTGACTCACTACTGCTTGCTTACAGCAGGAGGGAGCTTTGTTGTCTGTGCCCGCTGAGGGGAACTCGCTCACAAGTACCAGCTGCTGCCAAAACAAGTGCCCCACTCTGGGCTCTGTGAGCCCTGCTCTTTCCCTCTGCAGGATAGCGATTTGCACACCCCAGCCCTGAGGCTCCCTAAGTGAGCCCTTGGGTGGAGCAGAGAGAACCGGTGCAGATAGTAACCCCCAGAGTTCTGCTCTGCCCCCAGGGCACAGGTCCCTGCAGCCTGTCTGCTCACCCCACTTCATTACACTCGAGTATGCAGTCCCTCGACCTCCAGACACTCGCAATGCACACAGATTCGTTACCTCCATGGAAGCAGTGCCCCCCAGTTCACTAGCTTCCCCTCCATTCTGCACTCTCCTTAGCACCTAATCACGTCTAGAGTAAAACCAAGCAGTTTAATTGGCAACACTTAATATAAAGATTCAGATAGAAGCAAATATAGGGACTGGAAACACATGGCTAAAGACAAAAGAAAAATATAAAATGCAATCTAGAGCTTATGGTTATTCATCAGTTCCTTTCCCATCTAAGGAGGTATTTGTCACCCAATGGTCATTCCATGCAGTGCTTGCACAGTTGATAAAGCTGGGATCCACCTTTCACGAGACACTCCTGCTGGTTGAGCGTCGCCTCTAATGGCTACCAACTTGTGTCCTTCGTTTTCCTTTTATACAGTTCCAGAGAGTCTCTTTTCATAACCCGGGTGGTTTTTACAACTTCATTTTGCTCACAATGGTCCCCCTATTCAAGGTCATTTTCTTGAGTTCTTTTGTGCTTGGGAAAGGCCCAAGTCTGCCCCTTGTCTAGAGCGTGAACACCTGGCTAGGCCAAAAGATGTCACTTGTTCTCACTTGACCGAGTTAGCTGCAATAATCACAATGATCGGAGAGTTCTTAGATTTTGGCACAGGCCAAATGTGGCCCCCTTGGGTGAAACCTTGAAGATGGTGATCACAGGGGAAACATGCCTGGTTAGACAAGTCCCTGAGAATAGACTTGTAACTATGTACCTCCATCAGTTGCCAACATGGGGCATCCAGATCACACGTATTCATGACTTTTAAGCCAGCCTCATGACTTTCTGGGGCCTCACTCACTAATTTTTGAATGCTTGAGGTTGGCAATACAGGGTTTGCACCTGTGCAGCTACATCACTATTGTTACCCCAGTTGCCATAAACCTCAGCGTAGACCCAACTTTTCAGAGAGACCTGTACAATCACAGAGCCATTTTAGAGAAGTGAGGCAGCTGAGAAATCTGGAAACTCCAAATGAAGAACTGGCCAGGGAGCCTGAGGGTTTCATTTTTACAGGTGGCAACAGAAAGAAGGTCCCTGCGCTATCTCAGAGAAACCAGATTCTTGTGGCAAGAGATTCACCTGCTGAAGGAACCAGGTGGACAATGAGGATCTTCCCTGTTTTGTTTTGGATTCTCCTCAAAGGTGAGAATGACATGGGCTCTGTGGGGGAGGGGGAGACAGGCTCCCTGGACCCCCACAGGTCCCATTGTCCATCATTTGCCCCCTCTTCTCCCCCAGTGGGCAGCCTTTGGGGAGGCTCTCTGCAGGCTCAGCCAACAAGCCGGGGTTGGCTCCTGTTCTTTCCTTCCCTTTGCAAAGTGGGGAAGGTCTGGCTGGACCAAGGACCAGGCTCTCAGGCAGCCCCTAGAGAGTCATTGCTAAGGGCTGTGTCTCTCAGAGACTATTGCCCCTTTGCACGGTTTGCCTCCTAACCCTCTTCCCAGGGCATATTGCTTTACCATCGGTCAGTGCAACTTTGGGAGTAGCACCTCACAGCGGTCTTCTCCTCAGCTGGACTCCCTCTGTCTCCAGCAGTCCCTGGGCAGAGCTACGTTCCTCCTGCTCACCCCCCTTCCTGTGAGGAGTTCCTGCCTTTTAGGGTCCTCCTCCTCCAGGCTGAACAAACCTTGCAGGTGCATCTCATTAGCATGGAGCAGGCCCGGAGGAGCTGGTTAACCTCCTCCATAACAGGG